GAAACCTTGAAGGGTGAATATCTTTCCGTGATTCCCGAGTTAATAGTTTACCCGCCAAGATTTTCATGAGGCTGTAGGTGATATTCAAGAGCGCGGGAACGCTGAATTTGAATTGGGAAGATTGAGCGTGGGCAGGGGGTCATTACTCTAAAATTTCAGCCCCCTAGACTCCGTGGTTCCCGAGATATTAATTTACCCGTAAAAACTTTCACGGGTCGACGTGTTACCCGCGGATACGGGGAAGCTGAATTTAAATTTGCGAGGAAGCTGAATTTTATTTTTTTCGTACAATACGACGGTACAAATGTGAGCATCACTAGCAGTAGCAGCAACAAACTGGCCATCAGATGTTCGAGGCTTCGGACCATAATTGAAATATCTGGAACCATAGGCGGATCCAGGACGCACTCCTGCAGGGAGGGGAGGGAGAGGGGGAGATTTTTTTTCGGCATTATTTTTTAGATAAACACATATTAAAAAAAAAAAAAAAAGGAAAAAAAACTCTCCATGCAATTTTACATATTATACCTTCAAAATTTCACATATTAAATTTCACAATATTCCACAAAATTTGAAAATATTTCACATATTAAAATTTTTTCACATATTATACCTTTAAAAAGAATTTATTAAAACTTGTTGCGACTAATGCTTTCACACGCTGGGCGAAGCTTGGTTAGGCCATTCGATTTCGGACTGCATACCTCCCGTTAGTTCCCGTCGCCTGTTCAAAGTATGTGCCCTAACACTGTGTGGTGGTCGCCCGAGTGGTCGTTTACTTTCTCAGACTTTACTTTTTGTGCGTTTTTTTTTTTTTTGCATCTATGCAATGCAAAAACTCACACTGTCGAAGGATTGTCTAGGTATGTTTGTGTCTGTGTGTTCGCCTGTACCGTTTTTTTTTTATGCTTTTTGTGCTGTGTAACAGCAGTACAAAACGTATATTATCACGGGGCTGTCTGTGTGTGTGTTTGCGTGTGTGTCCGCAGCAACTTGTCCGCAACTTTCAACTCGGGAACCACAAAAAGTAGGAAGCTGAAAATTTAGGGGAACGTTCCCCATCCACGTGTGACCTCGCAAATTTAAAATCAGCATCCTCGTACCGGCGGGTAACACGCACGGCCCCGTGAAAGTTTTTTACGGGTAAGTTAACATCTCGGGAAACACGCAGTCTAGGAGGCTGAAATTTTAGGGTAATGATCCCTGCCCAAGCTCAACCTTGCCTATTCAAATTCAGCGTTCCCCCGCCCCCGCTGCTGAGTATCACCTACGGCCTCGAGAGGATTTTGGCGGTTAAACTATTAATTAGGGAATTACGGGAAGATATTCACCCTTCAAGGTTTTGAATTCAGCTTTCATGCGCTGGTGCGTGAAATTTTTAACTATTTTCCAGTGTTTGAACTACTTTTGCATAGACTAAAGTACAAAGCACTGAAAATCACTAATAAGCAATCGTTCGATGGGCTGAATTTTACAAAACGCATGAACGCACCGGCTAGTATAGTGCGCGTTGCTATTTTAGCATTTTTCCTGAGAATAAGTAGCACTTCTTTCCGGTAGCTTTAGCAGCGTGGCATCAATTAGAGCTGTCAGTTTGGCAAAAAGAAGAAAAACAG